CTCTTTCTTTCTTTCTCTCTCTCTCTCTCTCTCTCTTCTCTCTTTCTTTCTTTCTCTCTCTAACACAAGATATAAAAACACTCATTTCATATATTTACTACACATAATGTGGCATATTTATTTCTCAGACAATTCAATTCCAACAATTCTTTTTTAATATTTGAAACAGAACATACAAAAGGGCAGAATCAGTGGAGAAACTTGTGGTTTGATGCTGAAAGAGATTTCCCGGATGTGCTCATATGTCTAAGGCCTGGACTATTTACATCAGAATTTAACATATTGAGCTTCTAGTTCTAAATGGATGGATATATTTATATGTGGGATCCACACTGCTATACTATTATTTTAAATAGATGGTAACCAATTAAGATATAACTGAACCAACAAAAAGGACCTTTAATTTTTAGACATTAGTTTAGTAAATTCAGACATGATGTAAATCAAGAAGTGTGTTTTTTTTAATTGAGGAAGGGAAAGAGGAAGCTTATATTTAAGACTCAGTCAGCATTACAGATATTGAACCTCATCTGTAGGAGAAGTTTGTTAAAATGATTTTATTATTTTCAGTGGAATAGAAGCTAAGGCCCATGATTCTAGTACTAAAAGAATGGGGAAAAAAAGTAATTGAGAACTTGAGATCCCACAAGCTCTGTCACACTAACATAATTTATAATGCAGCACAGGCAACTGCTGGATCTCAATTCCCTTATCAGTAACCCAACTTCCAATTATAAAATGGACATTGTAACTTAACTTCCATTCATAGTTCACATTAACATTTCAACCTTTAATTAACACAAAAGCAAACCAGAATATTGGGAAGTGTCCTTTTGTTTTTAAGCAAGATAGCTTTCATTATGATGGAGACAGTGCAGTGTACATGGAGGAATGAGACTGATAGATTGTAAAAGTAAAGATACACTGAAATTGTTACACTGCATTTTCTTATCTAAAGTTGTTATCAAGTGCTATGCTTTATTTTTATCTGTAAGACCAACTGGTAGTCATGTATCACATACCAGTCATTTATTCAAGGAAATAAAATGCCATACCATTTATTTGAGCTTTCACTGGCTCAGTTTTAGAGCCTCTTCTTCTATGTGGGATGATTACCAACTGACTGTCAGAATTCAAAGAGTACCATTAAAACCCGGGCTACCTACATATTTTGCACTGAACAACCATTAACAGAATCTTAGGAACTGTATGATACAGCATTTGATTCTTAGGGGAAAAAAAATGGGAGACGAAGGAATAATGTGTTGTGGGCTCCTGTTGTGACTGTCTATTATCATGATGGTTGTTTTAGATCGGGCTGTTGCATTTTTTTAACAGTTTTTATTGTTTTTGGATTCTGTAAGACACTCTATCAGAGTGGGTGGCTATAACAAATTTAAAGCAATCCATCAATAAATGAACAGTAATTATGCAGTACTATATTTTACTTATTGATATTTAACACACCTATCTAACAGTAACAAAGGACTATTTTATGATCAGCATATCACAGTTTAAAAGAAATCAACCAACAAACCAATCATACATAGAGAACTGTGTCATGAAAGACCAAAATTAATTAGTTAAGGACAATTTTGACTTTTTAATGGTTTGTTAAATTATAAATATTTTTGGAAATGGTTACAACAAAAAGACCTTAAAAGAAGACTATATGAACTTCTCTCACATGATACCTAATAAACTTTCCCTTGATACCATTCATTTCATTCACAAGAAATATTACTTTTAATTTTTTGAAGGTTACATAAGAAATCTGACAGAGCAATCAATGGAATGGACACTGCTAGCAGACTGGACTTAGGGCACAACTGATTACCTTTCCACAAGCTCACTGCATTACCTTATGGATTTGACAATGCAAGCTTTGCAAAAGCGATGTCCACATGGTGTCTGTACTGCTTCCCGTAGAGCCATTAAACAGATAGGGCATTCATATTTACTTTCCAGTGGTGGGTCAAACTCCACATCGTAGCCTTGGGTTTCCTCCATGAAAGAGTTTGAAAGTGTCCCACCAGTACCATTACTGATGTTGGCACTGATGCTTTCCTCCTTGGTTCCAGCACTGCAAGCACTGGCCATGGCTGCACAGCAGCCACTCTCTTGATCACTGGTTTCAAAGCTTGTGTTACTATGTAGTAGACTCATAGTAATTTAAAAGGTAGCAGGATAACCTTCTCTATGAAAGAGAAAAAGAAAATAATAACTTGTCATACATACTTAGATATTTATCACATTATTCCCTTTTGGAACATTAGGAAAAGTCCAATTTACACAAGGAAAGGGAAAGGGAAAGGGAAAGGGAAAGGGAAAGGGAAAGGGAAAGGGAAAGGGAAAGGGAAAGGGAAAGATTGTGGAAATAAAAGGGATGGGAGGATGAAAACTAAACACTGTTTATAATGATACTATTCTATACCTTTCCATATCTTTCAATCCTTGCTTCTAACATGTCCAAGCACCATTTCATACACTGCCTTTCATTACTTTCATACATTGCCTTATCACCTGTTTTTTTCTTTGCGAAACCTCATCAACTCCATCCAACCACAACTATATTTCTACTCAATCTATTCTTCCTTTGCTTATTTCTTCTGTGATTCAATCCTCATTTATCTCTATATGAGCAAACCTCTTCAACATATTTAGTACCAATCACTTGCTTTTTTATAAAATTCACATTCTTTCACCATCCATTCATTCTTGATCCTATTTCTTCTTGTTTAACATACATACTTCATTTGGAACATTACATTTATGATATTGTGACAATTTGGAGCCTCCAGAGGGAAATCTGCTTACCAAATGGTGTTTTGTTTTTTCTATAAACTATGTTCGTAACTGCAAAAGGCAAAATAATTAATGCTAAAGGTAGAATGTCCTAAAACTACGTACAACTCAACAAATGTGCTTCCTAATAGCTTAATATTGTTTCATTTTCTGATTTCTATTTTTTAACAAATAAAAAGGACATTTCCGTTTTTAAAATTATATTAGAATATTTTCTAGTATCCCTTCCCAATTGCTTTCACAATCACATACAGGCACTGTGATGCAAATTATATATTTATTTTTTTATTATTTTAAAAAATCAAAATCACCATAACCATGGTATCAAAAAAACAAACAAACAAATCCCTTATAAATTCCAGCTGAAATACACAAATCACAGTCAATAAATGTCAAAGCAAGAATGAGAATTACAACTCAAGCGTAAAATCTGTAAGTCGCAAGCTAAACTGCATTCAAAATATGGCCTAGTTAATAAATAATGCTGAATTTTGCAACAGCAAATATTTACATGATGGGATTATGAGAGTAAGGACATATAATTCTACTATCGTAGAATTTAAAAAATGCTATACTTGAGCTGGATCCATTGCTATTCAAGCAATTTATATTACCAGGAACTATTCCATATTTGTTAGAAGTTACAAGTTTCTATGAAATGGAAGTCACGAGTAATTTCTGTTCAGGTGTAACATGTTTAATTTTGAAATTTAAGAAAGCAATTCTGCCTAAGCTGAAGGGCTGTACAATTTGGCAAAATTCCCCTTTGTTCAGAATTTTTAATGAACAAAGTAATTACACCCTTCTTTCACTAAACTACTCCCTAGACAGTGGGCATTTTGCCAGCCAAACATTTAAATCAGGATGAAGCTGTGGACAGCCCAGAAAAAGAACACGCTTAAGCTGTATTTACATTCCCTTAATTCAAGACTTTATGCCTGGCCAAGTCTTGGTAGAAAGGATTTTTCTCTTACAGATTTTAGGGCAATTTTTTAAAGTCCTCCATATGCTAATAACCATCCCACTGATGCAGCAACAATAGAGTATAGGATATATTACACCTTAGCACAATGTCACTAGTATACGAACATCACAGAATAAGAAAAAAATGATAAGGGGCTATCCTTCTTTGCCTTCTTGTTGCACACTAAAGAACTAATAAAGAAGGACATTATAGATAGAATTGCTTTTCAACAAACATGAAAAGTGGTTTGATAAAAGTATTAAGTGAAAAACTATATTTTGCCTAAAAGATGGGTTTAAGATATTGCATTATTTGCTAGTACTCCCAAAATTCATAGTCCTCCAAAGCCAGCACCACAACTGCTATTTCCTATTACAGAATTTCTCACCAGCGCAGGCTTCCAATTATTTGATAAGATTTTTCTGCCTATCAATGAACAAATAACAACCACCCCATAACATTCTAAGTTCCACCTGGGTTCTCAGGCCATGGGATAAACAGTATCAAAGGGATGCCATTTAGTCTACAGAAGTTGCCTCAAAAATGAGAGAGGAGACGAAGTTTTGAAAAATCCCCACCTTTCTGCTAGAAAACTGCTATTAAGAAAAGATGATAAATTTTGAAAAGACAGCTGTCAAATAAACTGACATCTGGCTTGCTTCAGAAAGCTTTATTAAAAATATAAAAGAGAAATATAATGGCATATTTAAGGAAATGGACTGCAAGTTGCAGTACAAAGTGACATACAAAGTTGCAATCCATTCAGTCTTCAATGTTTTGCTTTGTTGAACCTCAAAATTTGATTAAAAAACCAGGACTCAAGAATTCTCATACAGAGAATGAGTTAAATGCATGACAGAGAGTGAGAGAATACTTACTTGAGCTGATCCATACTGACTGAGTTCTGAAAAGAATTCACAAAGACAGTACTGTATACGCTGGAGGCACGGTTGCTCAACTTTCACTGCTGCTGCTGCTGCTGAAACACCTCACCCTCCAGGGGGAGGGAGAGGGGCTGTGTTCCTTTTCCCTTTTTCATTTTCTGTCCTTTTCTTACAAGGCAAACAAAGTGAAAAACCTAATCTCTGTTTGCTGAGCAGAATCTTCAGCAGAAGGCATCAGCATACCCAGTAATTTAGCAAAGGAAGTATAGATGTTGAAGCCATTAATGACTTTAGTGGGTAACACAAGCACATTCAACTGAAATACAAATCAATTTTTCTCAAGATGACAGAGCACACTGCAACATTTGGTGCATTTCCAAGCTGGTGCTGTTCTATGTCAGGCTACTATTCTCAGAATTGCCGGGCACCTTGGTCATATTTCAGATATGAATGAGAATTTGGTGAATCATAGTATAAGATATATGAAGGATATCATGTTGTGAACTACATTAATAAGAGCTGAATATACCAAATTACATAATTCTCATTTAGGGTTCTACTTTTTTACATACTGTGGCAATGGTGCAATTCCTTCCCAAGAACATGTGCCAAGAGAGGAACTACAGCTGGAGCAAAATTTTGCTAGTGAATCACACTGAATTTTTTGATCCCTAAAAATAATATTTGGACAGTACAATTCAAGATTTATAGCTCAATGGAGTAAGCCCCCACAGATACCATGCTGGACTACTAGGGACAAGCTAGTCACTAATCTATTTGAATTAAAAATCCATACTTCTCCAATGTCTTTCTCATCTATATCGACCATCCCTTCCAGAATTCTTGTAACTGGCCTGAGGATTTTGGGCCAATTTAATGGTGAATTCTCAGAACACAGGGAATGATGGCTGGGAAACCATTCAAATAGTACATGTATACTGAAAAGTGCAGCTACTATAAAGGAAATAATGTATTGAACAGTACCAAAGTTCTTATTATGGAATTTCTTGTCAGTTTCCAAATAAACCTGTGTTTTTGAGAAAGATAGCATCAAAAACTTCTGATCTTAAAAATTATATATAAATATTAAAATGTAATTAACCAGGGCATTTTAAAAGCCATAGTACACTTTGGTATAAGCAGATAACTTACACTACTTACTTAAAACTTAACCTGTATGCTTTCGCTCTACCTTTTGCCTCCTTGTGCTAGTTGAGGACACTACTGGTGGTGTATAATAAAAAGTATACTAATTTTTAAATTCTTAGTTCTCATAAGACTTTGCATACCTGTATAGCTTTTCTTAAGCTGCAAAACACAATTCTATAAGTTACATGGCAGCTTGATTTACCTGTTTATTCTCCTACTGGGAATAATGAAAAATATTTTATGCATTATGACATAGTAATGAAGAAAATATGTAAACCTTTGTATTTTATCCTACATAAAACTAAATGTCACAAACACTTAATACAAACATATACACAGGATGTTGCTCCTTCTTTTTCTAACTTATGGATATCAGTTACTTTAAACAATTTTACCTTTTTTTGATACACATTTTATTTTGCATTGATTTTATGCTTCTTGAAACCCTAAAATGTGTTCTCCTTGAAGCAAAGTGTCTGTTTCAAAGGTGCTGACAGAAAGTAGCCACACTTCTATTGTTTGGAAAATGTGTTTGATTTAATAGTTATTTTTAATAAATATGCTTTTACTTCTTTACAGTGCAAGATATTCAAAATGATCATACACAGCTTTTGTGTTCTTTAAAATTACAAGAGTTTGAACTGGTTGCTTAATGGGAACAAAGACTATCAAAAAATGTGTTTGCTCATTACTACCTAAATGTATAAATTTAGTTCTTCTGAATTATTCTTCCCAGAATAAACTGTTTCTCACTATAAAAGTATAATGTCTCTCTTAAGAGGTTATCGATACACACTATATGTGAACCCAGCCAGTAGAACTAAATAGTTTAAAAATCTTTAATTATATGGAAATGTAACCTTACTTTCAGAAAAATGGGATGTTGTGAAATTATTTGCACTGTTAGCTAAGAAGCAGTGAAGCTTTTCTAGAGGAACCAGACCAGAAGAGCAACATGCCTCACAAGGAGACTATTTTGAAAAGATAAATCTCATTATCTCTGTATACCACTGTCTAAGAAACTGTTAAAATTACTATGCTACATACATAAATTATATAATTATACTGCTCTGTCTCCTGCCTTTACCAGTGAGAACTATCTGTATATTTAAAATAAGTAATAACCAAAAGAAATCTAGAACACTCTGATTAAAGGATATTATTTTCATGCACCTTCTCAATACAACAATATTGCCAGTTCTGAATTACGCATTGCTTCACAACAGCAGCAACAGTTTGCTAGTTGAGATTAAGAAGAAAAAGAGGACACTCATATCTATCAAAAATAAACAGTAATAAACATTTGGCTTAGAACTACACTTTCAGCTATGCAGCTGCATGCAACTATTTTTATTCATGGAAGTTACCAGAATAGGATATTTTAGTTTTACTTTAACTAAAGGAAAGTTTATTTTCATCATTAATTCTACTCAGTTTTTCTAAGAAATTAGAAAAATCCCATTCTTGCGCCCACTTTATCTTCTCTTTAGGAATGCTAATTTTCTCATAAACACCACCTCTGCTTTATTAAGTATAACACTACATGCTCAATTTAACGAACATGCTTAAAGCATCTTCTGCTGCTTTAAGAATACTGCCTTCATTTTATTAGACTCCAAAGTACAAGTAGTAAGACACAGTAAGACACCTGTTTCAAAATATATTAGTGGGCTAGTTTTTAATAATTGGTAAGTTGATAAATTTAAGTATCATGAGGACTTCAATATGAGCTTCATTTACCTGATCACTGAATACTTTTTCAAACTTCTTTTACACACAGTTTCATTTATTAGGACTAAACGTCCCTCCTCTAGAAGTCCTTCTTTGTTTTTCAGTCAAAAGGAAGTACTTCCCAGAAGAGGTACTAGAAATTGGTCCATCTACATTGTCTCTCAACCCGACCACCCTCACAGGGTGGTTGTTGTGGGGAAAGCAGGAGAAGCAGGCATTAGGCATGCTGCCTTGAGTTGTACAAAATAAAGGCAGGATATAAATCAAATAAATACATTTCTGAAAACTGAAATTTTGATTTTTCCTTTTTCAGATTTTTGACTTCCTCTTTTTAAAGTGCTGTTTTGAGATATGCATTCTGATCATAAATGAAGGCCAGGAAAACATTTGTGTGAAAGGAAATTCGTTGCTGTCAATGGTGGTTAATACATGCTGGTATATTAATTTGTGAAGGGAGTATGTTTGTTTGTTTGTTTATTTATTTATATTTCAAATTTAGATACAGCCCATCTCACAAAAAGTGACTCTGGGTGGTTCACAATAAAACAGCAATAAATATTAAAAT